TCATAGAAAGCGTTAACCTTTCTTTCAAATCCGGAAGTTTAAAACGTGTGAATGCTCGTATCAAAAGGTGCAAGTAAAAACCGTCGCTGGGGATTAGAACTTTACTCTGAAAAACATCGTCGTTATGAGCCATAACAAGATATATTTTTCTGTACATGCCTATGACTCTCAATAGAGACACCAGTGATGGCATCTCTTCACTAGACGGAAATCGACCTAAATTTTAATTTAAAATTATCTATAGTAACACTGGTCGAAATACATTAAGTCTAAACTCTCAAAATCGCTTCACAGCAACAGTAAAGATAACATTCTAATACTAGGGATTAGAATTCTCCATTAACTTAACTTAACCAAAACCATGGGTTTTGGTTAAGTTATTCACTCTATTAATAAAATTGTCAACCTGCTTATTTGCGCATATTTAATTACACTGACACATAATAAGTATATATCGTTTGTTTCGCAATGACTTATTGAATTTTATCAGTATTCTCCTGGACACGTATTTCTTTTGGAAGCATTTCTGACTTCATGAAACGTTGAGCCAGATTAATCGAGAGCAATTTTCTGTGAATGGTTCGCATAATAAAATTTAATTAGGACAAAAAATATAAAAAAATTCATTGTGCCACAAAATTGGCGACATTATCATTACACGTATCGTGAACATGCGCGTCAACGGGCAAGTTAAAGAGTAGAACTTAGAGCTCAAACCTGTTGGACTTGAACTTTAACTTTAACTTATTGACTGTAAGTTTCACATATGACTTTAACTTTAACTTTTAGGACTGTAAGTTCTTGTTTATTCTGAACAGAGGTTATTTTCCTTCCATATTTTATCTATTGAACGAATAAGATGAGGTTCTGCAGACGCCAGTGCAGCAAATGCCATGAAGGTTCCCTGTCGTTTGCATGAATGTAAGATGCCCTCTTAAGAATTCATTAATGCGAAAACATTTAGGTGGATTTACGAAACTGCTTAAGAGGTTCTATTCATTTTAATGGTGGTTTCTGATGGGGTATAAAATAATGCGTTCAATGTATATTTTAACTATCGTAGTCATGCTAATTTATATTTTATTATTTTTCCAATGGAAATAAATTAAGTGATCGATTTTGTTCTGAACATTAATTAGGGTAAGACAATTATTTACAATGACAGCAATCGGATTATACCCTAACATAGAGCAGCTTGCAGGCCAGTCTATAGGTGCAGGCTGGCCTTCCCAGCTCTAGGTGCTGGCTGGCCTTCCCAGCTCTAGGTGCTGGCTGGCCTTCCCAGCTCTAGGTGCTGGCTGGCCTTCCCAGCTCTAGGTGCAGGCTGGCCTTCCCAGCTCTAGGTGCAGGTCAGCCTTCCCAGCTCTAGGTGCAGGCTGGCCTTCCCCCAACCAACAATGAATAATTCTTGATATAAATCGCTGAATAATTTTATAAATGAATATTAATACACCGCATAAGCTTTATACACGCATATACTCTGCTTCCTTATAGTTACTTCAACATTTATCAATGCTACGGATTACAAAACACATTTAATTCACATGCAAAGCACCACGGAATGACTTTCTTATACTCATTCAGTGTTAAATAATTGATACAAAGCTTAGCAATACTTTAAGTAGGACGGGTGATAGTGCTAGCTTAATATTTAATCTATGTCTGGGCGCTGGTTATATCTTATTTCAATGATAATATCTTATTTTAAGTAAGTTTTCATGACCGACGTATGGATTCTCACCCCCGGAGAAAGCCAAGCATGAGTCATGAAATCATGAACTAGGATGTAAGTTGTACAATCATTCATAGTGAATAATGTTATGTATATACGACACGCAACTCACACAAAATTCACTTAATATAAAATCCACTTATAATGAACAATTCAGTGAATATACAAACTAGTTAGTGAATATATATTTACACTCTGGAATAATTCAGTATGAATACCTTCTATTTGTTAATTACACTCCAGTGAATATTTTGAAAATATTTTATGCATTGACAACGCATAATTGTCACATTGTAATTTTTAACGGATTTAATTATGCACAATCGATTTTGGAGAAAATTGAGTCTGAAATGAGTTTTCCTTGATATTTACCATTAATATGAGCCATTTGGTAATGATTTATTATATTTTTTTTTATATATGATGAGCCATTCGGCAATGGTTTAAATTTTTTTATAGCGTTTGCTACATGCAATATTTTAGAAACATTTACTAATATAAAAGAATAGTTATTCACTAATTTAACACGTATATATTCATGATGTATACGTGCCTTTGAAATCCACCATTTAAAGTTGAAAAAAAGTTCTAGCGCATAGCGAGATGGCAAAACATTTTATCCGTCTACGATCACAGAATTTTACCAGATCAATTTTTATTTAGATTGTAATCTGTCCCTTCTCATAATTACCTAAAAGATATTATAATAAAATAACCTTCCAAAATGACAATCATCTCCTAAAAAATCACCAGAAAATGCTCTTAGCAATTTATCGAAGTCACGGTGCATTCAGAACTAGCCGCAATATAATGACTGTGATGTAATGTTGAACTTCATCGTTTATCAAAACAAGCTTCCATACTTTAGCTGCAGAGTCGATATTGTTTTTATCAGCAGAAAAATTCACGGAAAAATGTGCATTTTTAACAATTTTGATTCATTATCAACGGGGCAGTGTTGTTAGCTTTGAAGCATCTTGCACGTTTCTCTGTGATGACTAGCAATATTCTACACACAAAATATATCGAACTCATGTATTGTGGTGCCAATTCGATGAGGGTAGTTTCGGTCGCATTTTTAAAAAGAACGATAAATCAAATTTAGCATATTGGTCTTATTTAATGTTTTCGAAAGGTAAAGATATATATATATAAAAGTTCGTCAATTATTATTATGGCGACACGACCGTATAGGGTACGAAGTTCTGAGCTCAGCCTTGTTATTAAACACTTGTCACCGAAAATTACACGTGTTAAAATAATGGAAAATTGCACGTGTTAAAATAATGGAAAATTGCACGTAATAAAATAATGGAAAATTACACGTGTTAAGTGATTCAAAATTCATCGGGTTGATGATAGAGCTGACAATCGCGCCCGTTGCACTGCAATGATTAACTTAAAAGCTTTCAGTATATCAGGTAATTTAGTTATAATATACAGAATATCTCTCAGACTTCAGACAGCAATTTACCCCTTGAAGACTAGGAATGGTATTGTTTATTTATACAAACAAATATTCTATGGACGATTATAGCTTATTTCTAAACATATTCACCTGAAACGTGTGAAGCAATAAATTCTTAAAAATTATTCTGCTGTTCGATGCCTTGCGCAATCTCTAGTGCTCTTATTTTAACATTTAATATACTATTCTTTAATAATTATTATGTAAAAACTTAAGCAGCTCAGGCTGAACACACATTAACATTAACTAATTAACATCTACGCCTAAAAATTAGTAATGAAATTTGGTGGAAAATTAGTGGAAGTGGAATGAAAAATAACAAAGTGTAAGCTTCGTGCCACAAGCGTAAGTTCAGAACCAATAATCACTCCCAGTATGAATAAAGTTACAGTTTACACGGACATATAACAACACAGTGTCATGGATTTAACAGATGAACATTGTTCTTGTTCTTCAAGTTAGAGTAATTGATGTTATTGTGCTGTTCATGGTCACCAAGAATATTTGTGTCCAAAGCAGGTGAATCCTGTGCGTCACTGATATTCTGTAACTTTTTTGCAAATAAAAAAAGCTTTACCTGTGTTGGTTTATAATTAAGGAATATAGAAAAGCTCCCCCTGTGATGGTTTAAAAGGTACTCAACGTAGCAATAATACATGCACAATCAAGCGCATAAATTATGTTTGATAGCTTATACAAGTTGTATAAATAAGCACACACAAAGACACTTAAATGAACACACTAAGCTAGAAGGTTTGCCCGGAATGGCGCGAAATAAATCGTTGCCGTTTGAGTAAACTATTTTTCCGAATTTCGTCGTCCCGAGTCGGGTTATTTTAAATCCAGTTAATAAATTTGAAACCTATGTAAGAGAGGCCCGGCCAAAACCACATTTAGGAATGAACTACCATTTAAATCATGTTAAAGAATTTGAAGTAACTTTTCCTTTTAAAAATAATGTACACTTGCGATAGCAGAGATAACATTTTAATTTTTATATCTCAATTTTTTTAACTATAATGTGCCCATGCGATAGCAGAAATCACATTTTAAGTTTTAAATATCACATTTACCTCAAATTTTCAAGGTCATAGAATTTCGCCAATTAAAATAAATTTCCATGAAAAACGCTCAGCTTCTTTGTATTCACGACGCCAGCCTTCATATATACTCACAAATCTTGAATTTTCTCAAAAATTGAATGGATACACGCATGTAAATGCTGACTGTTGAACATCTGGTCATTATATAGCGAATAAAAGATATCTTTCCAGCGTCATATAATGAATAATAATAAACTTTTAAACGTCATATAATGTTGCATCCTTTTATGTGTTTTTGTTTTTGCTAAAATAATGGTGCCGTCTTCTATCGAATAGCAAAAAATATGTGCACGCATCAAGGCGCTACCCGATTATTTTTTTGCCCCTTAAAAGTAAAGCGAGGATGATTTTAATGGACTTAATTGTAGCATTAATGTTTATAAAAACTTTAACCTAATGATCTTCATTTTTGTATTAAAACCGTTACTTGTTTCGTGGATGTTGTTATGCTAACTACAATAGAACTCGGGTGAGTGGACTATGTCATGGGCATTGCGTGTTGATTGAATGCATGTTTCGTCTCGATGTTCCCAGTTGCGTAGAGAAACAAATTTTTATTCATAGATAATATCCTATAAATTTAATTGCGCGCTTTCCAAAAACGCAAATGAATTGGAGGTGAAAGATTTCTATCTTTAAAATCAGCATACATGTGTATTAAATAGAACCTTCACTTAACACACGGTGCACTTGCTTTTTTAAAATACGTTCTTCCAACAAGTTTTTTCTCAATAAGTTTTTTCACAAACAACTTTGGTGGTTGAAAAAAACATTATTTTAAGCTAATTAATGCAACACGCGTTTCAAATTTACATGCTTCGTCGTTTCGATGTATTTTCTTCTCGGTGTCACAATGAATTAACGTTCGAAGTATGGCTTAGGAGGTCGGAATCTTTTCGCTCAAGTTGACTTTGGTTTCTTAATTTCGTCGGGGCATCAGGCAGCTCAATTGTTGACATCAAATTCACTGCTGAATCTGACTGCTGGCGTTGCGGAAACTCCGAGAGCGCGTCTCTCGAGAAGTCTTGTTTTCCAAGATATTTTGGAGCGCAATCTAAATCTCTTGTTGATCTCTCGAATTTGGATATCGGTGAAGTGACAGGTAAAATTGAAGTGAGATTCCTAGCAGAATCCACTGAAGGATTAATGAATAATGCGTCGTTTTTACGAGCATCTATGCGAGCGATGTTGTTTTGAGCTAACGGATTAATGTTCGTGCCGTCGATAAAATTATCACATGAGAACCGGATTGCCGGGGTAAATCTCTCAGCAGACACTTCGCTATTCCGTTCAACTGGATGTGTATTGTGGAGTATATTCGGCTGCGGGTGTGCGTCTCCTGTGAGTCTCTGACAATCGTTGTCACTAAACGAATATAGATGATGGTGGTTGGCTGTACTCGTCATGTCCAAGCTATCATACTCTTCCTTATTTATGCACGTATTATCATACTCGGTGTTTGTTTTACTGTTCAAGACACTATCAAAATTATTTTGCCGTTCTTCCCCTCGCGGAGACCCCGAGATCATCTCTGAGCCATCCTTCAAATTTGAATATCGAACGCTCTGATAGGCGCCGACTCCAGGATTTCGAACGTCGTTGAGATCTGCGGCGTGTGTCTCTGGAGGACGCGACGAGCTTGTCTCATTTCCGAAACTTCTGGATGCAAAAAGACCTGGTGATTCATAATTAACTTGGGTGTCACTGGTGTGTGACACCAGAGGGACTGTGACAGGTGTCGCTTCCTTTTCCGAAGAGTCTTCGCAAATCACGGCCAAGACAGGCGCCTTCACCGTCGCTGTCATAGGTATGGCCTCGCTATAAGATGGAGAAGAAGGGGTATATTAAAACAGCGGGTCATGTTCAGTGGTTGGAAGGAGTTACTAAATTTGAATGTTTTAAATGAAAATGATGGAGTTTGAACAGAAGCAATTATGACAGTTAAATTTGATACGGCGGGTCATGTGCAGTTGTAATGGAGTTACTCGATATGAATGCTTCAGAAAAAAATCACAAAGAACGGTTAGCCATAATGACAGTCAATTTGACACGGCTTCATAAATTTTGTAAAGTTTCAATAGTCTGTTGCTTAGGAATAAAAATTGCGCAGATAGTCACCTAACTATAAGTAGGAAAGCGAAAGGCAATGTGAAAATTATCCGGCTGGACCTTAAATTTATGATCAATTTTGGATTCGATCAAAAATTGTATAAGATGAACGGCTTTCATGCCGTGGAGAGTGATGCATAATGATCTATAAAGGAAAGTTGAAAGCGAGCAAATATTTTCCTGCTATCTAAAGTGAATGAGAAAAATATTATGTTATAAAGTTCAGGAAGAAAAATCAATTTCAAACAGGACTCCATCGCCTCTAATCGTGCTGAGACATGACATGTTTAAGACACTATCGAAATTATTTTGCCGTTCTTCCCCTCGCTTTTGCATATAATCTTCAGGGAAGGAAACATCATTCTGAACAAGAACTAGTGTTTCAAAGACGAGTTATCTGTAATACATTATACTGAATAAGACGTAGTGTTTCAAAGACGAGTTATCTGTAATACATTATACTGAATAAGACGTAGGGTTTCAAAGACGAGTTATCTGTAATACATTGTACTGAACATGAGGTAGGATTGTAAAAAACACAGTAGTAGTATTAACAAAAATATTTTCAAGTCCGCTATAATCACAGTTGCTTTCGTAGCTAGAATATTTTAATTTATAATATATAAACTTTCATGAAGACTGAAAATTGATTACGTGAGAGCAATTCAAATGACGCTCAGTAGAGCTCATCCATCGCCAAGTTTACTGATAACCCCGCACTTGTGACCGCGGTGTGTCCTCCCGCTCATGATGATCTCTTGTACATCCGCACTTATTGGTAGGATGAGTGTTGTGACATGGAATTGTGGTGTTATGGTGGGAGTGTTGTGACATATGGTTGTGGTGTGTTGAGAGTGTTTTGTGTGGTGGTGTGGTGGGAGTGTTGTGACATATGGTTGTGGTGTGTTGAGAGTGTTTTGTGTGGTGTTATGGTGGGAGTGTTGTGACATATGGTTGTGGTGTGTTGAGAGTGTTTTGTGTGATGTTGTGGTGGGAGTGTTGTGACATATGGTTGTGGTGTGTTGAGAGTGTTTTGTGTGGTGGTGTGGTGAGAGTGTTGTGGTGTGGGGTGTTGGTGGTGTGATGGGAGTGTTGCGATATGTTGTTGTGGTGTGGTGGCAGTATCGTGTTATAGCGTTTTAATTTGGTAGCAATTGTTGCAGGTGGCAAATTCATGCGAGTGAGAGTGTTCATTTGGATGTTTCTTATAAGTTTATTGGGCCTGATAGTAACATTAAACTATTGATGAGATTAAAATATAGGAGTAAGGAGTGTATGGTTTGTTTAGGTTGTTTGAGTTACATTCATATTCTTGGCTTCTAAATTTTCTTTCTAACTCTCGTTTTAATAATTTAAAAATAATAATTTGTGACAGCCTGATTTGTGCCATTCTGTATCTATACGTACGTAAATACTATACGTAAATTTATTCATATTGTGTTTATTCTGATTTAAACTTTTTTCCTTGTGCGCTCTTCCGTTTGAATATTAAAATAATCTTACTGTTTGAGCATAGACACAAAAAAATTAGAGGATCAAAATATAGTTTTAGCCCCACCTCTGTACGTTGGTGGACATAGAGAAGCGTCGGGATGACTTGAAGAGACTGCGACTGTGCGAGTAGTTAGTGCTGAACTTGCGCAGTGTGATGCGCACCTGCAGCACAAACAGTGATGATATATGCGTAGTGTGATGCGCACCTGCAGCACAAACAGTGATGATATATGCGTAGTGTGATGCGCGCCTGCAGCACAAACAGTGATGATATATGCGTGGTGTGATGCGCACCTGCAGCACAAACAGTGATGATATATGCGTGGTGTGATGCGCACCTGCAGCACAAACAGTGATGATATATGCGTAATATGATGCGCACCTGCTGCTAATATGATGCGCATCTGCTGCTGATATGATGCGCACCTGCTGCGCGAACCATTACACTACTCGCGTAGTGTGATGCGCCCCAGCAGCACAAACGTGCACCGTAATGAGCACTCGACGCACTCACGGCTGCCGCAGCGCACTATAATGAGGCAGTACGGCTGCTGCTGCTGAGTGTTTATGTTGATGCTTGTGCGGTCTCTAGTAGACTTTCGGTGAGGGAACCGCGCTCGAATAGGGCTGTAGAATAAAGACTTTAAGACTTGGTCATTATGATACAGGCGTATAGACATCCTCAACGTATGGCTGCTTTACCTTTAAGGCCTTGAATGTGAACCTTACGGATGAAGAAGCGCGGCTTTAGAAGTTCTCATGCTTTGTGTAATTCATGTCAGCGTAACAAAATGAAAACAAAACTAATTCTTGTTTACCAAAAATAAAATTAAAATTATGAAAATTCATCTCACAATATACATTCCAAATTGAGTTAATGTGGAAAACTTCCCACTTTCCACAACACTCGTACATAATTCACTAACTCACGTGGCTGGCTTTTCAGGCTAATTACTTGTCCAAAAGTGCAAATGAAATTCCAAACGAGCAATATAGGAGCTCATTTTTCAGTTTGGCAACAAGCAATTTCCTGGCGGGGAGAAACGCCAGCTCATTTCATCATTTCGACAGCTTTATTAGGCGACTATTCGTAACCATTCGTAACTATTCGTGAGCATTCGTCTCAATTGCAAGGAATAAATCAGGCTCATTGCGGTCGTTAGGAGACGCAAGGCACTAGTCTGATCAAGCTCAGCCTCAGCCCGCATTTTGACCTCAACATCGGTTAATGTCATTTTCGATTTTATTCTAAATTGAAATTTGCGAAGCAGTTTAGAAAAAATTTTGATATCGTATTATTTATGATGACATTTATTGGGATGTTTCTTATATTGAAAACAACTGATATCGGTGCTTTGAATCTGATTTTTTTTTGTAATTGTTCATAATGGTTTAAAATTTAATCTAAAACGTTCAAAACAAACCTATGTTCTGACTTCTGAATAACGGTGGGTTCCAAGGGATCAAAGTTATCTTAGATAAAATTTGTTAAGGCAAAAAGCTGAATATTTTTCTTTTTTTTTCAGTCATACTTTAAAAACTAAAAAACTTTAATCGAGAAACATTTATCGCTAGAAATTATTGATACTTAATTTAATGTTATTATGAAAAAATTTAATTTTCAAATAATTTTATCAGTCAAAAGTCGGACATGAAGTTACGTCGACTTGGTTGGTCACTTGAGACAATTTCAGCATTTCTAGATATGAAATTGAATCCAAAAGACGTGCTATGAACTTTAATGGCCTACTCAGATGCGGCCACGGCAGGTCGTGATATGCGAGGCTTGTTATGTATCACCGTTTTGACTGCACCAATATCTGCCATCTTCTAAAAGTAGCTCCATTAAATAGTTATGGAAGAGTTTGTTGCCGCCACGGGAAGCTTTTCTTAATTTCCTAATGTTCGGGAAGTCAATGTGATAGAAATTTGGACCTAATTCTTTTATTTAGTTAATATGATATGATTGGTCTACGGACATATTCAAATGATTACACATTGGTTCTCAGTTCATTTATAAAGTAATCAACTTATTTTTTCGATTCTTTCGAGTATTCCTGCAAATTTTTTCGATTCCGTCGTGGGTAATTCAATTAGAATTACCCACGCACATCTTGGTTACGCAAAATTATAAAATTTTGATTCATATCGCCATTTCCTTCCTTAATTATCCTCGCACATCCTGATTTCGTAAACACATAAAACTGTGAGGAATTTCACTCTTCCGTGAATGAATTACCGCGCAATGATTGGTTACGAATACACACAAAATGAGACGAATTTCCCTTTTTTCTGAATGAATTACCCACGCACCTCATATGGTTACTTATTCATAAAAACCGTGCAGAATTTAGCGTTTTTTTGCAGGAATTACCCACGCACCTCATGGTTACTCAATTATATTATACATAAAAACCGTGCTGAATTTTGCGGTCTTGTGCACGAATTTTCCACGCTCTTCATGGTTACTTATACATAAAAACCGTGCTGAATTTCTTGATTTTATGCATGATTTCCCACGCTCTTCATGGTTACTTATGCATTAAAACCATGCTGAATTTTGTGGTTTTGTGCATCGATTACCAACGCTCTTCATTGTCACTAATGCATTAAAACCATGCTGAATTTCCCTATTATGCGCATGAATTACAAGCGCACCTCTTGGTTGAGGAAGCAGTAGATGAGCGCCACGAAGAAGCCCTGGAAGGAAGTAAGGATTGTGTTGAAGTAGCTCCAGGCTGCGAAGGTCCAGGCCCGCTGGTCCAGTAGTGATGACACCATCTGCAGGCTGTTAGTGATGCCCAGCAGCGGCAGCAGCACTATTGCTGCACGCACCGCTTTCCTGCGTGTCATAACAACAGCACTTATCAGCACTAATGTATTTTTTATCATTTATCAGCACTAATAGCGTATTATTGAGCTGGCATGACGACCAGCAGCAGCACTATTGCTGCACGCACAGCTTTCCTGCGTGTCAAAACAACAGCATTTCTCTGCATATTATTATTAGTAACGTATTATTGTGCGCTGTTGAATTACTTTTATGTTGTTTTCAGTAATTATGCATATTATTCTAGGCTAAAGCAACGCTTTTCTACGTGTCAAACAACAGCATTAATCAGCACTGATAAGGTAATACGGTGCCGGCGTGATGCATATAGCAGTGGCAGCAGCACCATAGCACACCTATTTATTAATAGTTAATAATTGGTGGATTGAATAAAATAAAATGCTACTGATGCTATATATTGACGGATGATACGTAGCATTAGTGGAACACAGCGAGTTACCTGGTGGTCCACGATACAAAAATGTTTGTGAAACCCTGTATTATATTAAATTTGTTTAGTTTAAAGCAATGTTGGGGAAATTTTTAATATTCAATATTACAACCTATTCAGCTTTCCGTATTATATGATCGTTAATCATTGGAATCATTCAAGAATCGATGTTAAGAACAGTTTCAATATTCAAGCTTATTAGCTGATGTGCCGTTGGATAGTAAGCATGGTTATAATTGCTTAATACTAATTAAAATAAATTGTTAGCTATGAAATCATCAGTAAAACTTTTTCATCTCCAGCAAGCTTCACCAACACATAGGCTGCGTTCACACTAATCAAAGGCCATATTCTATGAAATCATTACGGTGATCGCAATTTGTCTGATGACCATATATTGCAATTTATCATAAATCGTTGCAAAGTAAATCATACCATCATTAATCCTATTATCTCAAATCCTAGCATCATAAATCCTAACATCATAAATCCTAACATTATTAATCCTAGTATCATGAATCCTAACATCATAAATCCTAGCATCATAAATCCTGGCATCATAAATCCTAGCATCATAAATTCTAGCATCATGAATCCTAACATCATAAATCCTAGCATCACAAATCCTAGCATCGTAAATCCTAGCACCATAAATCCTAGCATCATAAATTTTAGCATCATGAATCCTAACATCAAAAATCCTAGCATCACAAATCCCAGCTTCATAAATCTTAGCATCATAAATCCTAGCATTATAAATCCTAGCATCATGAATCCTAACATCATAAATCCTAGCATCACAAATCCTAGCATCATAAATCCTAGCATCATAAATCATGACACCATAAATCCTAGCGTCATAAATCCTAGCATCATAAATCCTAGCAACATAAATCCTTGCATCATAAATCCTCGCATCATAATCCTAAATCCTAGCAACATAAATTCTTGCATAAATCCTAGCATCATAAATCCTGGCATCATAAATCCTAGCATCATAAATCCTAGCACCATAAATCCTAGCATCATGAATCCTAACATCATAAATCCCAGCATCGTAAATCCTAGCACCATAAATCCTAGCATCATGAATCCTAACATCATAAATCCCAGCATCGTAAATCCTAGCACCATAAATCCTAGCATCATAAATCTTAGCATCATAAATCCTAACATCAAAAATCCTAGCATCACAAATCCTAGCGTCATGAATCCTAACATCATAAATCCAAGCATCATAAATCCTAGTATCATAAATCCTAGCATCATAAATCCTAACACCATAAATCCTAGCATCATAAATCCTAGCATCATAAATCCCAGCATCATAAATCGTAGCATCATAAATCCTAGCATCATAAATCCTAGCAACATAAATCCTTGCATCATAAATCCTCGCATCATAATCCTAAATCCTAGCAACATAAATTCTTGCATCATAAATCCTCGCATCATAATCCTAAATCCTAGCAACATAAATTCTTGCATCATAAATCCTCGCATCATAATCCTTAATCCTAGCATCATAAATCCTAGCATCATAAATTCTAATATCATAAATTCTAGCGTCATAAATTCTAACATCATAAATCCTAGCATCATAAATCCTAGCACCATAAATCCCAGAATCGTAAATCCTAACAGCACTGTCATCGGGCCACGTAAGTTGAGGGCTAATTTTTGTACCCTATCTGTGAACAGAAATTTGATAGCTAAACGCTTATAAAATTTAATCGATCGCAATTTTTTTTAGCATTTGACTGCAAAAATTCTACCGACAATTAACGTGCACAGGAATATTGTACAGAAAATTGGAATTAGATCTGGGGTCGGGGGAATCGGCCACGAGAAAAATGCAATGATATATCCGGCATAACGCTTTCTCTTAGTGATAGGTAAATTCAGTGTGTTTTGGTTTCATCTTTGTGCTGAAATCGAGAACCAATTTAGATACACAAGAGAAAATTGCTATTTTTATTAGATTTTTATTAGTCGAACTCACAGGAAATACGTTTTTCTCTCGAATCTTTAGAGTCAAAACGATCTGTAGGTTGAGGACGCTTCACATGTACACATTTTCCATTAACATTTTCCAAAGCAAGCTGCGCAATCTATGTTGTTTTAAGTTACACCTTTGTTAATAGACTGAATTAGAAGTATTGATTTGACATTTTTATTTGAATTCAGATTTCCAGTTACCTATGTTTTTCAATATGCCTTTTTGATTTCATTTCACGTCTATTGCATGGAGCTTTTGTTTTGAATGCAGCACTAAATTGCTATTTAAACATTTAAAAAGACTATAATCAAGCAGAAAAAATATTTTGGTGTTGGAAATTAAAGGTAAATTGACTGTGAGCAGCGCTACTGTTCAGATGCGGCTAATTAAATCCTCACAGGTAAAAATGCGTGCCGAAAGCATATTGTACTCGATTAATAAGTAAAAATTGTTCAAAATGTCAGCCTTCAAATTATAGTGAATGTACGAGTTTTTTCTTTGCTTTTTATAGCATATTATTTAAGGTAGGCCTTAATTAATTAAAATCCTGACCGCTCCAGATTTTTAATATAAATTCTATAATTTGAATATCTCATTAAAATAAATCTGAGCAACATGTAATCCTATAAAGCTAATGCGAAGGAAAACTAAACTAAAGAATTACTAGAGGGAAATTAACTAAATTTGAAGGACTCACTTGACTTGCTGCGTCTCCGTAGACACGCTCGCCTTCAGTTTCGTGATGAGTACCCGCAGGATGTTGAGTAGGAACAGCAGGTTCGTCTGGAAATTACATGTAGAAAGTTTGTTAACATTTGCCAGCAACATCTCTACGTCTCTGAGTCGATTAGCCGAATAGTGCTTCATTTTTGTAACACTTCTCTTCAACTTCACTTCTTGTTGTGTGTTGGTCTGCTACAAATCATATAATTGATATTTAACACACTTCTACCCATGGTTGAATTAATAGTATTAATTCAACCATGCTTCTACCCGTCCAATCGATCTGAAATTGTGCACACTTGCGTAAAGTCAGAGACAATGCTTGAATCAATTGGCAGAATAAATAATTTAAAATATTTAATAATTTGTTTCATATTAACAAAATTTCAAAAATAATTTATTTACATATTTAAAAATGAAATAATAAATTCATTGCGCATGTGTAACATCGGAGACATTGGCAAGTTTAGAAGTGTTGTCTCTGAAAAGTAATTTTTAAAAGCACGTTTATTTAGGTTCATCAAAGTACAATTCGAATTTAATGTGTTATTTCCCATTACTTCGACTTAGCAGCTGGGGCTGAAAAGCGGTTTTCACACATTCTTTGTAAGGCCGTTAAAATCATGGATATTAGGATTTAAACAGAAATTAGAAATCGTGTAGCGATATAACAGAGATTTTGTACAGGCACATAGGAAAAACTCGAAGCCAGTGCAATTGCATGAAAAATATATTCTCACATTCGCCAACGTTGAGAGTTCGACGCAAAAAATCCTAAACCAATCCTGATAGGAAATACACATGTTTTCAAATTGCAATTTTAAAGGTAATAATTTCAAAGTGTATATTGGAGCAAATTCCCAAACTTTATGCCTCAATTCAAAGCTGCCTCACTCACTGAGGCAGCTGCCTTACTGATGCTAACTCAGTCCTGTGACTTAAGCAATTAACTTGAAACACACCGCGGGATTGTGGGTAGCGTTTGTGGTCACGGGCAAAAATTCCGGCACTTCTGTCACGGGGATATGACAACCACAATAATTTCTCGCTGATAGGCTCGTCTTGACTTTTCTGACTTTTCTTTTTGACTTGACTTTTCTGGCGCTGAATGCGTGATTCTCAACTCTAAATGCAAAATTTATGATCTTATTGTCGTAAATTTTTGAACTTTTCTTCATTAATATACCCTTAACCGCCGTATGCCGCTCTCCAGGAACATAATTTTCAACTTAAATTATACGTAAACTATTGCATGAGCGTAGCAACCTGAGGACGTTTGTAGGCAATAGAGAACATTTTAAAGTTGTCGTACGTGGCGGCAACCATCAGTGCAAGTCATTTTGCGCTCACTAGAACGTTTCCTTTTTAGGATGTAGGCGCGTGACAATATTGCTCCGATTACTCGTGTCAGGCGGTAGAGGGTTAAAACCTTAATATTTAAATGTAAACTTTCGCCTCTCAATGTATTTTTCCTTCTATTACTGTAAATTTTTGTCTTTTTTTCTGAAACATTGTCTTCTTCGTAAACTGTAGTTTTCAGTAGTGCTTGCGACCTTGATTTTTGCTGTATTTGTTTCAATCTAATGTATATTAGCAAAGACATTCAGCAGGCTGTCATTACGCGACTAGAAAGATCACAAAAACTTGTTATCATCCGCATTAGATAATTGCAGCTTCTGGGGAAGTACTAAACCTCAAATGGCAATACTAAAATTACTCACAGATGCTAGATGAAATAGTTATTTTATCTAATATAGATTATTTTTCGTTCGTAGATACGTAGGAACTGTACGTATATAATGATTATGTACAGTGTTTTTTTCAAAATAATTTGTCAAGATAGGAAATAATATATATTGATAAATGAGACACTAAACGTTATGTTTTTCATGTTAAAAATCTGGCGTAATTATTTTACCTATGATAGTGAAAAATATCGAATTGATAAAATGAAATGATACTGTCTAGCAGCATCGTCCGCTCAAAGTGAAATTTAATGCCCAACAATGTCACAATTTCAATATAAACAATCGCTACTACGCTTCCTCTCCTCGAAAAGGTCGCGTGTGATGTAAAAGCTGAACCTATAATAATTGATTGTATGAGAAGAGTTCGCCTAAAACAACATCATATTTCATTTATTACATAATTTGATACTTGATGTTGTAAAATTAATATGTATGATAAGTGCAATATGTCTATATTCCATTACACTTATTCCGCTTAGTTTACACATTATATAAATTACTTTGGCATAATGACTTCTTAATTGATATTTGGGCAAGTGTAGACATGGAGGATGGTAGCCTCGCGAATTCTTGTGCAAAACGATATTCTTTGCATTCCATATTGTGAATAGCCTGTTTATTAATATGGATATTCAAGATCCGGATTAAATATTTATATGTAATTATTGGGCCATTCTCCTTTTTATAATATTTTTATATTTATATATCGTGCTCTATCATCAAAGGAAATGAAGACTAAATAAGCAGTTAAACGCTCAAAAGAATTGCATTGTACTGTATTAATTTCAATTCTCCCGCGAACCCATCACCGAAAGTTCGTTCCTAGTATCAAACTGCACGAGCTTCCTCGCAGCTTTTACGCTTATTGCAGCAAAGTCGAAAGTTCCGTAGACATTTCCAGACTATTGCAGCATCGCAAGCTTCTCAACTTATACAACGGCATATCACTCAGAAAAACAAACGAGACTTTGTCCAAATTTGCAATGTGTGCGTCACCTTGACCTAGTGCTCCCCCTGGCAAAATGGCGTATATCAGTGCTACGTGCAGAAAGAACTATTCACTATTTAGACAACACGACACATTGATTATTCTGAGTACCAGGCTGCTGAAGTCGGCTTTTCCTGGAGCTTTGGTGCCGCGCGCATTCCGGCCAAATTGAAAAGTTTGCGTTCCGAAATGCCTTCCTTGCATTATCTTAATTCGTTTCAAATATACAAAAAAACGCGTATTGCGAATCGAGTTCACGTGAAAGCACTCACAGTGAATACGTGCCTCGAATTATTGGAACTGATTATTAATATTTAATGTATTTATAGAAATTTGAAACAGTCGCCCTAGCAGACTAATATTTTATTATTTTATAATCTTACTATTATATTGTATTTTATTATATCATCAGTGCATTATTAACGGGAAGATCGTACTCGACTAAATTCTCTTTCAACCCGTAATGATTTTACCATTAGCATCGCGATACTTACCTTGTGGTCATTTTTATTTATTTATTTTATTTGTATTCATGGCATTTGTATTATTATCGGGATTCTAGATTCCACTGTTCTAAAGCCGCCAGCCTTTGGAACAGTGGTGGCAGTAGAGTGGCAGTATTGTGAAACTGCATCATTGCATGGCAAGCTTCTCTTAACGACATGACACGCCCCATGCCTGTACTAACTGTCCACCCTACCCGGTGATTGTTTCAACCCGGTGATTGTTAAATCCGTCCTTCTACCCGGCGTCGGTTGCAACAGCCCCCAGAGCGGCCGTGATGCCTGAGGTGTGATGATAGCGACCCTGGGGTGTGATGATAGCGACCCTGGGGTGTGATGATAGCGACCCTGGGGTGTGATGATAGCGAGCCTGAGACAGCAGGTATGGTGCGCTGACAGCAGGTATGGTGCGCTGACAGCAGGCATGGTTCACTGACAGCAGGTATGGTGCGCTGACAGCAGGTATGGTGCACTGACAGCAGGTATGGTGCGGAGACAGCAGACGTGCCCAAGTTCCTACGATTTATGTTCATTGCCAATTAGTCACTTTTCATGCTTCATTTGTCATGTTCAGCTTTATCTCACCTACAGCCGTCATTTTCGAATGAAATGCTCTGCTTTGTGAAAAAAAAAACTAAATTCTCCCCGATCAAAGAGTATTTTTTAGCTCTCTGGTCTCGTTGGGTCAATTTATATTTCGCCCATATGTCAAAAAATTAGGAATATATTCATCGCATTTTTTACATTTAAAAGTTTTTCTCGCCTAAAAGCGTTGTTCATAACATCTTCCACTATGGCTTGAATAATAAAATGCCGTGCCCGCTAATGCGGCAACACAATCTAGCCCAACGTCCTTTTATTTTCTACACCGAAAACAGCGACCATTAATATCTGCCTGCATGCCTTGATTCTAGGTAGCCTTCAATAAAAAATGTTTCCTATGAAAGAAATAGCGTTAAAAACTCCGCTCGGGATTCATTCGATGAGCGAAATTTTTGTAATCAAATAGATTTTTTAATTCCGGCGTGAAAATTGCTGATATGGGATAAAGCAATTCTATGTTGAAAAATAGCAGCCACTTTTTCAACAGTAATGCTGATAATAATTCATCGATTGAAACAAAGACTTGATAAAAATCTTTAAAGTGCTCAAGTTCATCAGTCGTACTTTAAGAATTGGCATATTTTTTTAATTTTTGCGCAACAGTTGTGTTGTCCAATAGACCAAAGTAATACCAAAGAATTAGGCTTCAAAAATGCCTGGAATTTTTTTCTGCTAGTTCTGGCTCATCTGGATGATTCAGGACTGGCTGGATATCGCCTTTAACTATACAACTAAATTTCATGAGCCATTCCACGTGCGAAAAATATCAAAGAAAATTTCCATCGCAACAATCGACGATTTCATTAGCTCGGAATTTATCGTTTTACTTCCGGGTTGTTAATTAATTTCACCTTAATTAAGTTAAAGCATCGATGCAATTCTTCCGTTGAACACAGAATGTTTTATTTAGTTTAGGATGTGCGCAGTTTATGACCTGTAAATTTACCGCGATTTCTTGAGGCTTGCAGTTTCTTACATTTTGTGTGTAATTTCTAATTGAGCTCATTGAGAATAAGATAAGGGATATTGAGGATGACTTAGTATTTGTAAAATATTTTCTGTTTTTCTTGTTTATTTAAAACCAAACCAATGTTTGTTGGATCGTTTTATTTCTAACATTGATAAAGTGCATAGAAGTACCTGCATGTAGCTTGCACATATAGGATACATTGACATAAAGGCAGACCATGGCATTTATTTCATATTGAATCATGCTTAATAATGCATCAGCCACTTTATTATTTATGACTATACGATGATTTATAAGTCATGGAAACTTCACATTTTAATAAGTATCCTCTGTCGGGAAACTTCTAATATGAGATGTTAAGAGAGGCGAAAATATTTTTAATATATAAATCAATTCAATTCACTCTCACCAGAATTATGGCGAGACGCGGGCCTTCCAGAATCCAAAAATATGGGCTTAGACTGTAGCCCCACATGCATCTGAAAAAATTAATATTATTTATTAATATTATTATTTTATAGTAGCAAATAACAAAACACGGAAATGTTCGGTCGGGAAAGGAAATGACCGATTGTAGGAAATCAATTTGGAATTCAGTTAAACGTTGTGATTAGTGACAAATTGGATGAACGAGTAATATTCATTGACCATCGTGAATATGCAGAATAGGGAGAAAATAATTTAAATTTTGTCAATGGGAAAATTGACAAAAGACATTTGCTTCGAAATACATCGTGCAATTGCCACAAGTTAAAGTTTTTATTACACAAAGCATCAAGTTTGTTAAGTATAGAGTTTTTAAAAAGTTTCCTCGATGAGAAAATTTAGAATCAAATAGTAAATTGATAAAAAAAATTTTAATATCAATTAAGTTAATAAATATTTGTACATTTTATATGATGGAGATATATTTATTCAACTTTCATTACCTTTAAGCAAATAGCTGCTCCCGATATACGCTTTTAAATTCTACTTTAGCTCGAGATGACAACACATTGCCCCAACGTTACTGGAATGCGCTTGTCAACCTACGAACGAATTTCGAAATTTGATGAAAGCGTATTTGCGAAAACAATTATTTTCTCCGAAAAATATAAGCAAGTTGTTTGTAGTTCTCGGGTGCCAAGCGAGGGAAGATATCTTGATGGAAGCGGTTTATGTAAGATAACAGAGCCTGCGTTTTTTGTAGAACAGCGACGAACTGAAAATTTTTGCTTATAAGCGCGAACAGGTAAATTCTGGATACATGACATAAAAACATCTGGTCTTTAAGTTGAGTAATTCAGTCAAAAATTGGGGTGGAAATTAAGGGTGAGAAATTTAGGGTAGTAAATTAAGGGTGGTAAATTTAGGGTGAGAAATTTAGGGTAGGAAATAACGGGTGGTAAATTTAGAGTGCTAAATTTAGGGTGGAAAATTTAGGGTAGGAAATTAAGGGTGGTAAATGTAGGGCGGGAAATTTACGGTATGAAATAAAGGGTGGGAAATTTAGCGTAGGAAATTTAGAGGGAGATATTCAGCCAGAGAAATTCAGTCGATTTTAAAAGTTTGATTTTAGCCCTAAAGTAGCACTGAGATTCAAACTTCATAGTTTTGAGGTAATTCGTTCTTGTAACAAAGTTTGCTTTATTATGCGAGCTATTCTTAACGGAAAACTAGATTAAAAGAAACTTAATCCCGCGCTGAACTAATCTCCCCAAAACGGACGGAAATTTCCTCACTGCGTGGTGGAGTGATGAGTGACGGTCACGGCCGCCCACACGGCCGTCATCACGACAGGCAGTCCCCAGCCCAGGACGTAGTAAAAACTGTAAAGTTTTTCAATAGAAATTGTTAAAGTTTTAACGCGTAAATTAAACTCAATTAGTGTAAAGTTGCAGGGGACCCTGCTCGCGTGTCCCCGGTTGAAACTCAGTTACTTAGAAGGATCACATGTCAAGTTTATTGTGGTGAAAATAGTGGGCTTATGGCACCAATTTCGTTTGATGAGAAATGCCATTTCTAAAAATTGCAAATAAATTAGCGCAAATTAGTGGACTGTGCATTTCAATGCCGATAAATCGGGTCAAATGGTACGTTTGGGGCAATTAAATCGAGTCAAATCGTATGTTTGGGGTAATTAAATGATAATACCCGCAGATATTTTTGTAATATATTTTAAAGTAAAAAATATCTTCAGGAGAGTCTTAAACTCATGGGATTGCAGCATTGAAAACAAATCGTTCAATGGTGATAGATATTTTGGCAATTATAGTTATAAGAGTCATATTAGATGCTATAAGTAGCAAGAATTTTTGGTTGAGTGTTAAATTAGTTAATATTGTAATTCGTAACATAAAATATACATGGAGAAACCGACAGGTTATTGGTATTCAAAATACATGAAATTAGTGATTGAGAAGCTAATAATTATGATGTCTCTGGCCAGCTGTACTATGTACTTGAAGTTTAACACTAACATGAAGTTTATCAACAACATGAAGCTTATCACCAACATGAAGTTTATCACTAACTTGAAGTTTATCACCAACATGAAGTTTATCACCAACATGAAGCTTATCACCAACATGAAGTTTATCAACAACATATAGTTTATCACCAACATGAAGTTTATCACCAACATGAAGTTTACCACCAATATGAGTTTATCACTTACACGAAGTTTATAATCAACATAAAGTTTATCACTAACACCAAGTTTATCACCAACATGAATTTTATCACTAACATGAAGTTTGGACGGTCGCTGAAGACGGTGATGGTGAGCATGGAGTGAAGGTAGTGGCCCTCTATGAACATCCAAAGGAACATCGCCGTGCGCGCGTACTCCAGGAGGATGTAGAAACTCTCGCATAACATCGCCTGTTGTGGCACAATGGCGTCTGGTTAGATATGTCAGATGCTTAATTTCACACAATATCATTTAGAAAAGAGGATTTTATGTTCTTATTTTATATGTATGTTATGGCATTTTATTTTGATAACGTCGCTGTGATGAAAATAGTATTTTTTTGCTCAACTGAGGCTCTAGCTACACAATTTGTGTAATTTGAAATTTTTACAAGTTCGGAACGTGAATTTATTCAAAACTAATATGACAGAATGTCGTAGCCCAAATACCGTTGTTTGTAAACATAACCTTCTAATAAAATATAGAGAATTCCAGTCCCTTTCAATAAATAATTTTTTTAACTGAGCGTCTTTTGAATTTGTGATCGTGAGCTTGAGGGTTAATATAATAATAGACGCTCGGGAAAATCAATAGGTCACAATGTGTAAATAGTGACACACTTGCTTTCCCTCGGCACGAGCGGGCGTAAAATTGATACACTATTTTGCCGGTACAAACTGGGTCAATATGACCCACAAAGGAGCAAAAAATGCGTCACTATTCGGACAAACTATAACTCATTACTCAGAGTGTACCGTAAGCGCTTAAGGCGAGGGCTTTTGGCCACCCAATTCGTTCGATTTCGCTGCTATCCACGAATTGAAATGGAAGAAGCGAATTCAAAACCCTTGCAGAACTAATGAAAAACTATTAATTTTTGAACGTGTAACAGTCACAGTATTCAAGATTGAATGCCGAGGAAAAATTAGGTTACTTGAATTAACACGTTAACAATGAGGCATTCTAGATGAACCATAGACAATAAAGAGAAAAAGTTAGAGTAAACAACCGAATCCTCGATTATTTGTTGATAAATATTGTTATTTTGACTTTATAATGAAAATTCTAATCGTTTCTTATAGCTTCCAAGTAAAGAAAATCAAGAAAATCTTCGGCCCATTTATGTTGCTCACCAGACATTCAAAATGATGGCATAGTTTCATCAATATACTGCTATAGTTGGAGAACAAACTTACATGCAGAAATGTGAGTTGAAAAATTGCAACAAATTCTGAACGTGAATTTCGAAACAAATGTGACAAAACCTCGTCGCCCAAATACCGTCGTTTGGGAACATAACCTACTGATAGAATATATAAAATTCCAGTCCCTTAAAAAATGAATTTTTTTAACAGAGCTTCTGTTGAATTTGTTATCATGAGATGACTAAAAAAGATTTATTTCATTCGAGTTACCATTTGTTTTATATAACAATATTGTCTTCTAATTTGTCGCATTTCCTCCTGAAGATGCAGTTCTATAGTCTTGCAAATGCTCAATTGAATCCGAATTCAATACCTTTTTTTTAATGTACGTAATTAACCTGCATCAAAATTGTGTTACTTAAAAGATTGAAAGACGATAATTTTTAATCACGTTTTAATAGGTACAATAAACTCTTTTTTTCACGAAAGAGACCACAAGCCAATCAAATTATCTACTAAAAATATCTTCTAAAACTTTATGTTCTTTTGAATGCGCCAACTGCCGGGCCAGGCTTCTAACGGAATAATCATGTTCGCTACTGAATGGAACTTTTTCAAAAATGAGAACATCGAACCCTTTCTGAATAAGTGAGTGAAACTCGTAAAAACTCACACTTGATTTCTCACGGCAAGAGCAGCGAGCGGACTGACGTAAAGTAGATACGCCGTTTTGCCGGTACGAACTGGGTCAATATGACCCACGCAGGAGCAAAAAAGTGCGTCGCTATTCGGACAAACTATAACTCATTACTCAGAGTGTACCGTGAGAGATTTTGGTGAGGGCTTTTGGCCGCCCAATTCGTTCGATTTCGCGGCTATCAGTGAATTAAAAATAAAACAAACGATTTCGAGACCCCATGCCGAACTGATGAAAAACGATGAACTTCTGAAAATGGAAGTGTCACAGTTTTTAACCTGAGAAAAAATTAGGTTACTTGAATTAACACGTTAACAATTAGGCAATTTAGATAACTACGAAATTTTAACAGAGAGAAAAAGTCAAAGTAGATAACCAAATCCCCGGTTATTTAATTATAAATTATGCTATTTTGACTTTATAATGAAAATACGAGTCGTTTCTTACAGATTCCAAGTGAATAAATTTAGAAAATCTTCGGCCCATTTATGCTGCTCATTTGACATTCAAAATAATGACATAGTTTGGCATGACATCCTTCTAATGTTAGAGAACTAACTTACATGCAGGGCTGGCTAATGTGACGTTACTTACAGTGTTGTCGATGCCCTGTTGCCCAGGGGTGTCACGCGTCACATACTGATCAGTGTAGAGCGTCAGACGCACAGTTATCTGTATCATCATGGCACCGAACAGGTTGAGATGCATCCGCGTCCTGTTGTTGCGTAGCGACCTGTTGCAACAAACACAGTGGTAACAAACACTGTGCCAGCAAACACAGTGGCAACAAAGACTGCAATAATCACTTGCAACAAGCACTGCTGCAACAAATATTGCGGCAACAAACACTACAGCAACAAACACTGTGGCAACAAACATTGTGACAACTAACACTGTTGCAACAAACACTGTGGTAACAATCACTGTTGCAAGAAACACTGTGGCAACAAATACTATGGCAACAAACACTGAAACAACAAACACTGTTGCAACAAACACTGTGGCAACAATCACTGTTGCTAGAAACACGGTGGCAACAAACACTGTGGCAACAAATACGGAGTCAACAAACATTATGGCAACAAACACTGAGACAACGAACGCGAACACGGTGGCAACAGACACTGCTGCAACAATCACTGTTGAAACAAACACTGAGGCAATAAATACTATGGCAACAAACACTGAGATTACAAACACTGTGGCAACAAACACTGAGACAATAAACACTGAGACAACAAACACTGCTGCAACAAACAATGTGGCAACAAACACTGTGGTAACAAACACTACTGCAACAAACACTGTGGCAACAAACACTGGCAACAAACACTGCTGCAGCAAACAATGTGGCAACAAACACTGTGGTAACAAACACTACTGCAACAAACACTGTGGCAACAAATACTGTTGCAACAAACACTGGTAACAAACACTGTGGCAACAATCACTTGTAACAAACACAGTGGCAACAAACACAGTGGCAACAAACACTGTGGCAACAAGTACTGTGGCAACAAACATTGTGGCAGCAAACACAGTGGCAACAAACACAGTGGCAACAAACACTGTGGCAACAAACATTGTGGCAACAAACATTGTGACAGCAAACACAGTGGCAACAAACACTCTGGCAACAAGCACTGTTGCAACAAACATTATTGCAACAAACGCTGCTGCAACAAACATTATGGCAACAAACACTAAGACAACAAACACTGAGATAACGAACGCTGAGGCAACAATCACTATTACAACAATGACTGTTGCAACAAACACTGAGACAACAAACTTTGCTGCAAGAAACACTGCAGCAACAAACACTGCTGCAACAAACACTGTGGCAAACAACACTGAGACAACAACTATTGCAATTTCTAACAATCACTGTTGCAACAATACACTGATATATACCCTTCCACACACACTGTTGCAACACTCACTGTTGCAACAAACACTGCTGCAACAAACGCTGTGCCAACAAACACTGTGGCAACAAACATTGTTGCAACATACAATGTTGACCACTCATATAGTCAGGCATATGTTGTCATACCCTGACATGCATGCAAGGGCATTGCCGTACATAAAACTTAGATGCAAAACCTGCTGTTAGATCTTATCTCTGACGCTAATGCGGTCTGGTAGGTGTGATGATAGCGACCCTGGGGTGTGATGATAGCGACTCTGGGGTGTGATGATAGTGACCTTGAGGTTTGATGATAGCGACTCTGGGGTGTGATGATAGCGACTCTGGGGTGTGATGATAGCGACTCTGGGGTGTGATGATAGCGACCCTTGGGTGTGATGATAGCGACTCTGGGGTGTGATGATAGTGAGCCTGGGGTGTGATGATAGCGACCCTTTGTGTGATGATAGCGACCCTGGGGTGTGATGATAGCGACTCTGGGGTGTGATGATAGTGAGCCTGGGGTGTGATGATAGCGACCCTTGGGTGTGATGATAGCGACCCTTGGGTGTGATGATAGCGACCCTTTGTGTGATGATAGCGACCCTGGGATGTGATGATAGCGACCGTAAAATTGGATGATTCCCGTTATATGACAGCAGGTATGGTGCGCTGAAAGCAGGTATGGTGCGCTGAAAGCAGGTATGGTGCGCTGACAGCAGGTATGGTGCGCTGAAAGCAGGTATGGTGCGCTGACAGCAGGTATGGTGCGCTGACAGCAGGTATGGTGCGCTGACAGCAGGTATGGTGCGCTGACAGCAGGTATGGTGCGCTGACAGNTCCCAAAACTTTATGCCGCAATTCAAAGCTGCCTCACTCACTGAGGCAGCTGCCTCGCTGATGCTGACTCAGTCCTGTGACTTGAAGCAATTAACTTGAAACGCCATGCGGGATTGTCGTTAGAGGACGTGGCAAAAAAATAAATCACGGGCAAAAATTCCCGCTCTTCTGTCACGCGGATATGACAACCACAATAATTTCTCACTGAATTGGTCTTCTTGACTTCTTTCTAGCGCTGAGTGTGTTAGTCCCACCTCAAAATGGAAAATTTATGTTCTTAATGTCGTAAATTTTTTTAATTTTCTACGTTAAAAGCTTAATATTTTAATGCAAGACTGTCGCCTCTCAATGCATTTGTTCTTTCTATTAAATTATTTTTTTAAATAAAACATTGTTTTCCTCTTAAATTGTGGTTTTCAGTAATGCTTCAGAGCTTGATTTTTACTGCATTCGTTTTCAATAATCTAATGTATATTAGCAGTGACATTCAGCAGGCCGTCGTTACGTGACTAGAAGCATCACAAAAAACTTGTTATCATCCGCATTAGATATTGCTGCTTCTTAAATCTCACATGTCCATAATAAAATTACTCACGGATGCTAGATAAAATATTATTTTATCTAATATACATTATGTTTCGTTCGTAGATTAATTCGTAGGGACTATACGTATATAATGATTATGTAGTATTATTTTCAAAATAATTTGTCAAGAAAGGAAATAATACATATCGATAAATGAGACACTAAACGTTACGTTTTTCATGTTAAAAATCTGGCGTAATTATTTTACCTATGATACCGTAGTGAAAAAAGTCGAATTGAAAAAAATGAAATGATGCTGCCTAGCAGCATCGTCCCCTCAAAGCTAAATTCAGTGCGCAACAATGTCACAATTCCAATATAAACCATCGCTACCACGCTTCCTCTCCTCGAAGGGGTTGAGTATGACGTAAATGCTGAACCTAGAATTGATTGTGCGACAAAAGTTCGCCTAAAACAAGATCATTCGTTACATAATTTGAGACTTGATATTTAAAAATTTATAATAATATAAATAAGTGCAATAAGTATTGTATTCCATTACACTTATTCCGCTTTGTTTACAAATTGAATAGGTTACTTTCGCATAGTGACTTCTTAATTGATATTTGGGCAAGTGTAGACATGAACTGTGGCAACAAACATTGTGGCAGCAAACACAGTGGCAACAAACACAGTGGCAACAAACACTGTGGCAACAAACATTGTGGCAACAAACATTGTGACAGCAAACACAGTGGCAACAAACACTCTGGCAACAAGCACTGTTGCAACAAACATTATTGCAACAAACGCTGCTGCAACAAACATTATGGCAACAAACACTAAGACAACAAACACTGAGATAACGAACGCTGAGGCAACAATCACTATTACAACAATGACTGTTGCAACAAACACTGAGACAACAAACTTTGCTGCAAGAAACACTGCAGCAACAAACACTGCTGCAACAAACACTGTGGCAAACAACACTGAGACAACAACTATTGCAATTTCTAACAATCACTGTTGCAACAATACACTGATATATACCCTTCCACACACACTGTTGCAACACTCACTGTTGCAACAAACACTGCTGCAACAAACGCTGTGCCAACAAACACTGTGGCAACAAACATTGTTGCAACATACAATGTTGACCACTCATATAGTCAGGCATATGTTGTCATACCCTGACATGCATGCAAGGGCATTGCCGTACATAAAACTTAGATGCAAAACCTGCTGTTAGATCTTATCTCTGACGCTAATGCGGTCTGGTATGTCAACCTCTACGTCCAAGTCAAAGGTTTTCAAAACTGGCACTGAGTAATTGAGTTGCAATTTGCGCTAAAATAATGTGGCACTACAGTTTTCGGCACACCGATGTTCATTGAAGCTGCGAAAGTAGGAGCATGCGTAGCGTCTCAAGCGGCAGTGACAGATGACCAAAAAAAATTAGCAAAATTAGTGCAAAATCTCCGCCCCTGGAAGAGTCTATTTATACTGGACTTTGAATTATATATACCTACCCATCGAAAATTGAGACGTTGTGCGCTGTTTCCAACTGCCGCTCACATCAACTGGGAAATAGAGGTTACTCTTGTTCCAAAAATTAAGCGGAAATTTGGGTAATTAGTGTGAAATACGCTGAGCAGCGGCAGAAACATATTTTTCGGAGCTGAAACATTCATATTTTTCAGCCTAACTTTCCAGAGTCCATATTTTTCAGCCTAACTTTCCAGGTTAGATTGTCTTGTTCTAGTGTCCAAGTACACGAAGTCACCTGTCATACCAGAAACTTGCACTGGTTCGAGAAAACATTACCAAGCTCACGTGCATGAATCCTCAAAATTTTTAAGTTGTATGTCATCAAACGTTTAGCAACAATTATTGCTACACTTATCTAGGTTACTAGCACACACTATTTGACTCACCTGAAGTAGCAGAAAATAATGATAGAGGTGAGGATGGCGAGCATGGAGATGACCAGCCCCACCATCTCGATCACTCGACTTGTCCTCGCGATCTCAATCTTGAACTGCAGCGAGCCAAAAACTTAATTATTTCATTAATCACAAACACCTAATTATTAGTGTTTGTTGCAGATTGATTAGTTTACATGTGTACGGCATTAATAAAACTTAAAAATTTTTAAACTGAAAACTTGGTACCAAAAAATGTTTCTCTCAGCGGAGTTAGCGATTTGTAAAGTCAAAAATTCGAATTTTGGTTAATATTAGTAAATCAAATTTAGTTGTGAGATTATTTGATTTCATTGTAATTCTAAAAGGGAAGTTTTCTGGTAATTCCGCGGTCATGCAATTAATATTGAAGAAGTACCTTTCATTTATGAAATTCATATTGAAATACGTATTAATAAGTGAATGTCTCCAAGACTTTTGTAGCGACGGAAGATGTAATAAAAGCGATATAGGACAGTAGGCAATACATAAGAAGTTATATATAACAAGAAAGTAGTAAATTATATATAGTAAGAAAGCAGTAAGTTATACATAGGAGAGGAGAGAAGAAAGTAGTATGCTATATGTAATAAGAAAGTAGTAAGTTATGCATAGGAGCGTAGATAAGTAAGTAGTACAACCATGGCTTCCTCAGGGCTGTTGGAGTGCAGGTCGTCCATGACAGGATTCACCTGCAATTCTTATCTTACCGTCGCGCCTTAAAAAATATATTGTGGTCTTCCCAATTGAAAATCGCCCGCCGCTTCAGGTAAAAAAGAAAGGGTTGCTCTCTCGGAATCCTGATAGAATAATATGGGAAGAAAAATTGCTGCCGCCATAATCTCGTTTTGATTCGCCTCGCAACCAAGAAGTTTTCTTGCCTTGCCTAGCTGCCTAACTCAATGCTCGTTCACTGCATTATTCTTTATTACCTTGAATTAAATGTAAAAATTTTAAATGTAATTGCAAGATATTAATATTGGCTTGGTTCTTATATTCATTTCCTCATTTATATATATTTTGTATTGTAAAATTTGCGGGTATATTTTGGCAGTCATTCACTGACGAAACTGACCCTTTATTGGGATTGTTATTACGGTATTACTGACTGAATTATAAACGATTACGAACGTCTCTACATATGGGGCGTGTGCAACCCATACGCGGTAAATAAATGTCACACAGGGTAAAAAATGTCTATGTTTTCTTCTATGATATAATTATTTTAATTACTTTGGGGTAGATGAATAAATTATAATATTACCTATTAATTGATCTTGTGCTTCATTAAGCTGGTGAATCTGAATCACATCTACTGTTTCAACATTATCCAGATTATGTTCATTATACATTTCTGATTTCATTTAGAAATGATTTAACAGTAAATATCAAGTTCACTATTTTGTCTGACGAAACAAGTTCAAGGGTACAAATATCACCGGATGCCTGCATCTAAATTCAACACTTTGCCGGGTTAAAAATTACTGCCTACACATCTCGAGCCCAAATCCTGAACAAGTTTTTACGACCAACTTTTTAATCTATCGGAACTATTCAATTCAGCATTCATATGCCACGAAACAATAAGTTTGAGCCTTCCTCGTGATGATATTTCCCGCGATGTTCATTGCAAAAAGTTACTGTAAACAGTTTTTGTTAGCGGGCTTTGTGGATGAGTTTATTACGTGCAGTTTTATCTGCAACTTTACCACAGTGAGGCCAAACATTGTCACACTCATGCATTATTTTATATCATTGTTGAATGTTCACTCGACGGCAGTGAAGGTATAAATTGCATACTATTGTTGAGCATTCGTTCGACTGCTGTGAAGACATTCATGAACGAATTATTATTGTTTAGTGTCCGCCCGACGCAAGGAAGATTTAAGATAGCTTCGTGCGCAGAATGCTTCCGAATTCGAGATAAAAAATACGAAATGCCAATGTAATGCTACATCGACGATGGGAGCGAACTATAGCAAAAAATATTCATACGTAGAACCTGACTACTGTGAGTTTATTTGTATTTAAAAATTAATTGAAAGCGGAAAATTATCATGAACTTTATTATTATTTGACACGTTTAGAATGACTTATATTAATCATTGCTAAATTTTTTATATTTTCTTATAATGTGTCAGAATATAATAATTTATCTTCAGTATGTCTCCAACAGAAAGCTGACGGCTTAAAAACCGGCTCTGGCCAGGGCTGAGTAGGGCCAGCCCTTTATAAATTAGACTAACTAGCTATAAAATCTTGCTGAAAATGATCTGTAGAATGAGCGCTAGGAACGCAGCACAACAGATTAGATAGTACACCGATGTTTCTGCAGGCAGCGCCTTCCAATGCGACGTATGTTGTACCAATATCATTGTGTTAAATAAATTAAAAATATATAGAGGACTCATCGAACTACCCGGTAAGTACTCAATACGGCATTTTTTCACTGATACGTCGTTTTTCACTCAGACGGCAGTACTGCTGCTGTGGCTGACTCTTACTTCACGCGGCCAATTGAAATGGACCCTATACATAAGACGCCTCCATGCTGTACATCCCAAAAGAATCTTACAAACTTTATAAAATATATGGCGTGTGATGATGATATATCGAGTTCTCGTGCAACTACCAACGTTAAAATTTCAAGATGTAAAATATGAGACGATTTAAAGGTGGTCAACCATCTATCATTGGCACCTTGCCTCAGGTCACATAGTTAATTAACGGAGAAGCGCCCTTGTATTTTCATCATCGCACTGCAAAAAGTTTTACGTGTAAACAATGTAAACTGTTCCGTAACTTTGAGTACAAGACGAAACTCACGTCAATTAGCACCTGGCGAAAAGTTAACAAATCGTCCCCTCACTGGGGAGAAAAGTTTAGCACTTTTGGGGAAACGTGAAGTTTTTTATCGATGACTCAGAGTTGTTTGATTACTCAAAACTATCAACGAAACTTCACACTCGACCAAGCATAGAATTTTAACGAGTCTTGAAAAATACAAACTCAGCATCTCGTGAAACAAACTATAAAGTGTTGGACTAGAAGCTCTGGAAATTACTATACAGCAAAATGTATAAATCTTACTGGCGTTGAAGCATTAAAATAAAATTCGCACTATGAAACGCTAGACAAAGTCGGCACAATCAGCTGACAGTGTCTCTTATACTCAAGATTTTTTCTTACTGCTAATGAGACTCGAACCTCAGTTGAATCTCATTACCTTCTCATTACGAATCCTCAAATTTATTGAGAGAATCAGAAACTCTGATTTTGTCAGGGCCTAAATTATAATATTTGATTTATTAAATCTTGAATGTGGAAATAGGATTCCTGTGAGAGCTCGCTTTTTTTCCATTCTGACGGCAGAAGTTCTGGCAATATTCCTTTATTCATAATGTTCTCAGTAGACTTGCTAATATTTTTCTAAAACATTTATTTTCAATGTTCATTCACGATCTAAGTTTATCCTGTGTCATTTGTTAAAAAATGTCAGCCTACCACGGCTAACTTGACATAATGAGCAAAGTTGGTAAGTTAGGTGATGTTAGAAAAAACTTTCGAAGTCAGAAAGTCCGCGGAGGTTGAACTGCGCATCTCGAAAAGGATCTTTTCTTTACCTGCCTGATCAGGAATTGAATATCCTAAGAATATCAGCTTTGACGCTCAACTCTTCGATTGCTTCTGCGTACTATCGAACTGAGCTTCAAATTGTGATTGTGTTTCGCAAAAGAAAAATGGGATCTACATTAAAAGATGTACGAATCCTTTCACGGAAGACGAGAAAACAATAGATTTAAGAATCCTTCTACGAAACATCATAACATGTGATAAGGCAATAAATTTTTTCATTATTTATTGTTATTATTGAATATGCCATTATTATTATTTATTTATTGTTATAATTTTTATTATATTATTATTAGAACGTATAAAAATTACAATTTTCTGTTACATAAGCATGAAATTTCCCTCAAAATATTTTAAATTTTACTCTGCAGGGAAATGTTATGTTCCCAGGAATATAGGCCTACTGTACACCTCAATCTCAGTGCCGTCCAAAAATGCCAATCTTGGATGCACCTTAACTGCCGACCTCACATTTCTGTTCTTCTTAAGACAGCAAAGCTTCATCTCACGAGAATGACGTGTACACAAAAACAGAAGATGCATGTAATTCTTTAAGGCTTCCATATAAATTTTTATTATATTTTTTAATTATTCCTGGATTGGCGTCTGGCGCGATATACTTTTTTTTTGTTACGAGAAGCTATAGGCAAGGGAAACGCTTGCCGTCTTTATCTAAGCATCGTGTTTGCCTTGAAAACCTTACTTGCGTAAATATTGTCCTAAACTCTACACATTTTTGCGTTTATAGTCATTTATGACTATTGGTTTCTAAAATAAATTGCCTCCATTGACTTCAACGCAGTTTTTTACGCACACGCCCTTCTGCACCGAATATAATAACGCTATAAGAGTGCAAAACGTCAGATTATTGTTATAGTGACTTCTTTTAAGTTTATCTGTACCCTTATAGTTTTAGTTCGAACAAAACTTGTATCGATGTTACATGACTGCATGAAATGTGTTTTATGCAATTTATATTTTAAACTCAGGAGCGGAAGCAATTTGAACGGTTAATGGATGCACTTTGTCTAAGTGTGTTGGCTCGGGATGCGAGCCCGAAATATGAAGCTCATCTGTAGAACTGGACTGCTATCATAAAAAGGGCCAGCAGCATTGTCTAAACTATCATTTAGACAACTATTCTCGTGCAATTTCACTATAAACATTTTTAAAAAGTTTTGAAATAAGTTATTCAAACATTTCTACATGAAATTTTGATCTAGGTAGATCTTAAATATTGACGATAGGAATATTTATGTAAAATGTTTTCGCTTACGTAATGCATTCGTCAACTCTTAGATACGGTTCGTTTGAATGTTAATATTAATAAACTTTTGAATGTTAATATTAATAAACTATAATTATAAATTATGTCATGACTCACTGGATGGGTCTGCCCCCTTGATTTGGGGGCATGGGAGCCTGTGCAGAGCGGGGGGCGAGGGGGGCCAGCACAGGAAGCCGTCATATGAAGCTCTGCACCTAACTCCTGTACAGCGAACCAAACATACAAAAATTAAAATAATCAATAATACTTTCCTAATAGTTTAAGAATCAAGAGTTTATAATAATTTACTGAATTATTTTTAATTCGCTTATAATCTATAAGATATCGTGTGGAACTAAGCCTCTACCGGTTTAAAAATCATGGACGCGGCATTGATGGCCAACGGTCACCATATGTCCGACCGGTGACAGCGCGGCTTTGAGTTGTAAGCTACGTTATCGTACAGCCTTGACGCTGCAGTGTATGAATTTATGGGTACGAAATATAGAGCAATTTGCCTAACGTCCATGATTTTTAATGTAAAACGTTAAGGAATGATTTGAACAGTGTTCTAAATGCCTAGTTGTACAATCAATGAGCAATAATTATTGGAACGATGCATCATGAATGCCGATACGGAAAAATGCCTGCAACGACATTGATATTGTCAGAATACATACAATGTACGGAAAAAATTAAAGTCAAATGTTACTGTGAAAAAAGTGTAGTTAAGAGCACTGTGACGTTCAGGAATAGATAAAACATCATCAATTAATCAGATAATCTCTTCTATAACTATAAATTTTCCTAGCCCAAGTCACAAAATAGACAACTCGTTTCTGCATTCCGTCTTATGTGTTCCGTCTTATGTATTCCGTCTTTCTGTATGTCCGTCTTAGCTCCTGTTGTTTCACGCTTCGTATACAAACGGAAGTCAAACGACATCCGTGACGTATCCGACGTCAGTCACGGAGCTAGGAAATGTTTGACAAATTGCTTCCTGACCGTAGATTTTGAAATTATTATCTACAGAATTCGCACTGCTTTATTCACTGGCAATTTCAAAGTATAGCAGTCGAAAGTTTCTAGATTCTAAACTCTTCCACATAATTATACAATATTTTACGTGTGATTTTTTGACATTGTGAAACTAATACAGAAATAAACCAACTTTTTGGAAATAATCCAAATCCAAATTCTTGACGCAGATGAAATGTTTCTGCTTGTCTTCAGAAATTTGAGGAACGATATCGCCTGAAAGTGCAGTTCGTTTCTGAGAGTTGAAATGAGATCTCAGGGACACTCTAATCCTATAACGGCCGTCTCAACTCACGGGCGAGTTGTCTTCTCTGTTGCAAGAATCTTTACGTTTATTATGATGTGTTATATGAAGCATGATTCCATATAATGTGATCATGCCCGTGATGTAATAATTAATTTGGAAAGAAATACCTTAAGTAATAATGTCACTAGATTGCTTTAATCGCAGATTCTAGAACGTTTCTCTATAGAAAACGTTTCGGGGTTCGATCTCCATCGTCAGTTCGATAAATCTAGAGCACAAATAAAGTCAGAAAATTAATAAAGTTTGGAGTAAAAAAACACAAAAGTTAAAAACCTAAATGTACAGACAAAGGGATGAATAATAAAGTATGTACCTATCTATTCACAATTTCTAATGGATAAGAACTGTAGGCAACATTTAAATTAGGCTTCTCTATAAAAATATACAGTAATTCCAAAATACGCAGATCGGAAGCACCATAACTATAAGCTAAAACCTTAAAGTCTGTATCGGACACCGGAACGTTGCACTGTTCAGCGTGAGTGCGCACAGCAGAATGAGGAGGGCGCGATAGTAACTTCCCAGTCCTATAACTCCTACCTCTATGCTTATATATAAGCATATATATAAGCATATTATAAGCATATAAGCCTCTATATAACTCCTACCACACCGTGCACAACTAAATTTATAAACTAGGGACGATCGCATATGAGGAGGAAGGATATCTTTGTACCTAAAAAAACGAACTTATTTTGAAATTATTCACAACTAAGATACGAAAAATAATGTCCGGAAAGTATTTCATAAACAAATCTTTTAATTCTCTTGACAAACTTCGGACGCATGGCCGAAGGATGGAAGAGAACAGTAAACAACATTTGTACTCTCAAGCTCTGGAACAACTTCACTGTATCGCTTGGACATGAATTTCTTCATCTGGGTAAACACGAAGCCAGAAGGAAATCCATTAAGCGAGAAGTTATTGAGCAAAAATTCAAATACAAAATGCATGGCATGGAAAGTCGAGCAAATACGAAAGCCGCGGTGTAATAGTGTTTGAAGCTCGTTAAACTTGAATCTAAAATAACAAAAACTAAAAATGTTGGTGCTTCGGCCGGTGAAAGTTGATTTTCTGTAAACAGGGGTTTGAAAACGGCCATTAGATTTAATAATAACATAACATAGTGATGTCGGCGCTAAAGTGTAGGCCTGATGCGGCCTGTAATATTGCAGTCTAGAAAGGACAAACTATTGTTCGATTCAAGTTCCATGGTAAATGTAATAGAATTATGTTGCAAGTTTAGGTAATCGAATAAAAGTTTTACATGAGAAGGATGTTTGAAAATAAGAAAGAGTTCATCGACGTATCTGTTATAAAAAATTGGCTTAAAATCGGGAGGACAATTGTCAGCCATGAAATCTCGTGAAAACACATAAATATGTTCGCAAAGGTTGGGCTGAGACTGATGCCCAAACCGTCAATCTGTTTGTAAAATTTACCAGCAAATATGAATATCGAATTTAGAACTGATAATTCTAGCAGGGATTAAAAAAGATGCTGTTCAAACCAATAACAGTATCATGAATATCTTTAAACAGAGTATTTAGACAGATCTCAATAGTTTCAAAAAGTGGCATATTTGTAAATAAATTTTACACGTCAAAAGAGGCCATTGTTAAGTCCTGAACATCAGTAAAATCTTTCAAGCGGTCAACAAAAGTGTAAGAATTGGCTACTGTTTACTGGTTAGTTGTAGCACCGTTTAAGACAGGAACTAAAAACTTAGCCAGTTTAAAGCTAGGGGAATTATATGCGGCAAAAATTGGTCGGAATTGAAACTTTGAGGCAAAATCGGACTTATAAATTTTAGGTAAGCCGAAAGCTGGAAGCTCCAGCTTTAGGTAAGCTGGAGCTGGTTTCCGAAACGTTTTCTATAGAGATATACTGAATTTTTGTGGTGATTTCTTCGCTTTTAAATTTCTAAAAAATACCTTCTGTTAACAATCTTGGCCGTTCAAAATCTTTTTGTTTGAAGCGAATTAATGTTCAAATAGTCGAAACGAATCGTACCAACGTTTTATGAACTATTATACATTAAATAATCCTAGTTGACTCCTATTCTCTTCAAATTAAAATTTAGTACAGTTGTCCACTCTTCTCGTTTAATGTAGACTCTATAAGTAGGAAAACGTTACATGAAATGAATACAATTCGTCCCATGAGGGGTGGAGAACTCATCGCTTTATTGATATGAACACACATCAAGTGTGTTCATATCAACACACTTGATGCTCATCACATAACGCACCTGCTTACGGTCACGATCGACTGACCGTCTTATTTAGGGCGACTATATTACTTCTATCATTATACTAGGCTTCTTCCTCGTGTGTGATAGAAAAATCTCCCAATGTTATATTATGAAATATCCTTTCCGAAGAATAAATTCATTTGACAGTAATAGCATTATTTAGTTGAAATATTCTAAAAATTAATAATTGAAAATTATTTGCAAACAAGGTATCCTGGTGCGTGATGAGTGATGACATTCGATATTAAAAACTGAATTAAATTATACGGTCATTTGTTCTATCCTTATTGACTCTCTATTCTGTTGTAAAAATAAAATAAACGATTTTGTTATAATATCTACGAGGGTATTGGTATCCCGCTAGGATGTGCGTCCTCTGTTCATCGCTGGTGCCACCTTTTATTGTAAGCATAGCCAATGTAGGCGCGGAGGCAGTATTCCTCACTCTTGATTGTGCTGCTCTGGACGAGAGCGCGCAAGTCCTTTTTAAACCGCCTTTCCTCTTGAGAAACGTGATTTTTTGAAGATAGCTTCTCGTCACGTAATTTCTACTTTATGAAATTGCCAAAAAGACTAGTCTTTGGACCCACGTTCCAATTCTGTATCTAGTTCGTATGTTCCCCACTTCGTCTTTGTCCAATAATAAGCAAAGACACCGCTTGCTCTTTTTTTCTTGCTCTTTTGAGCACCTACAATAGTGACCTACGAAATATACGATAAAAACATATTAAAGTCCATTCAAATTTACTGATCACAATAATGTAAATTAAAACCGCCGTAACTTTGAAAAAGCATAAAAAATTATTTTTATAAAGCAAAATTGGGATCGATAGATCATGGAAAGTTTGTATATAGTTTGAGAGATTGTTAAGCTAACTGTAAGGTACACCCACCATCGAACTGCGTGGCGTTGACATCCAGTTGATGGTAGTGCTGCAGGCAGTCTTTCTGGGATGCGAAGCTCTCCGACAGTCTGTTCATGTCCCCGGTTATATACTAGGCTTCTTCCTCGTGTGTGATAGAAAAATCTCCCAATGTTATATTATGAAATATCCTTTCCGAAGAATAAATTCATTTGACAGTAATAGCATTATTTAGTTGAAATATTCTAAAAATTAATAATTGAAAATTATTTGCAAACAAGGTATCCTGGTGCGTGATGAGTGATGACATTCGATATTAAAAACTGAATTAAATTATACGGTCATTTGTTCTATCCTTATTGACTCTCTATTCTGTTGTAAAAATAAAATAAACGATTTGGTTTTACTAATATCTGTAAGGGTATTGGTATCCCGCTAGGATGTGCGTCCTATGTTCAAGCTGGTGCAACCTATAATTGTAAGCATAGCCAATGTAGGCGCGGAGGCGGTATTCCTCACTCTTGATTGTGCTGCTCTGGACGAGAGCGGACAAGTCCTGTTTAGACCGCCATTCATCGTTTCTCGTCACGTAATGGCGGTGTTTCTCGTCACGTAATTTCTACGTGGTGAAATTGCCAGTAAGACTAGTCTTTGGACCCAAGTTCCAATTCTGTATCAAGTTCGTATGTTCCCCAGTTCGTCTTTGTCCAATGATAAGCCAAGACATTGCTGTCTTTCCTTTACCGGAGATTAGGTCGAGCCTAACAGCAAATGTTAACGGCCCTACTGCATGTGGAAGCCCTTGCTCTTTTGAGCACCTACAATAGTGACCTACGAAATATACGATAAAAACATATTAAAGTCCATTCAAATTTACTGATCACAAGAATGTAAATTAAAACCGCCGTAACTTTGAAAAAGCATAAAAAATTATTTTTATAAAGCAAAATTGGGATCGATAGATCATGGAAAGTTTGTATATAGTTTGAGAGATTGTTAAGCTAACTGTAAGGTACACCCACCATCGAACTGCGTGGCGTTGACATCCAGTTGATGGTAGTGCTGCAGGCAGTCTTTCTGGGATGCGAAGCTCTCCGACAGTCTGTTCATGTCCCCGGTTATGGAGAACGCTGTGTTCGAGACCTTCTTGCTTGCTGGAATCCGTCTTACTTGCTGGAGACAGTCTTACTCGCTGAACGGTTTGAAAATTTGCACCCAATCGTGTGGTCAAAGACTGGTTGAGAAATGAAGGCTTACGAGATTTTGCACCGTGTCAAGGGTCGGCTGAAGACATGAGAGTTATGGAACATGAATACATCAGAGATCAACTTAAACTTCAACTCTGGATTAAAGTTCTACAAAGACTCAAAGTTATTCTCTGAAGTGAGGTTTAATAGAGGATTAAATTTACAAACTTTTAAAAGTCATACAGTAATTCAGGGTTCAATACTAGTAAAGTTCTGCTCTGAGTCAAAGTTATACACTGAATCAAGGTTCAACACTGAATTAAAGTTCAGAAATAAATTAAATTTCTACGCTTGATCCTTTTTCAGCGCTAGATAGAGGTTCTACGTTCAGTGCTAGATCAAGGTTTTAACACAGGAGCGTTTTCTTACACTTGATCGGAGTTATACGCTTGATCAAAGTCCTAAGGTAGATCGAATTTTAAACCTTAATCGAAGTTCAGCTCTTGTTGTAGGTTCTATTCATGATCAAAGTATTCCACTTGATTGTATTTTTTCACTGGATCAAAGTTTAACACGTGTCCAGGGTTCTATATTTGGTCAAAGTTTTTCACTCTATCCAAGATTTAGAATGGACCAAATTTGTGTTCCAGATCGAAGTCTCGTTACAACAAGTTTATTTATAAATTTTTTATCACAACATACATTAATTAATATTTCTGATTTATTTAAAGATGCTTCTGGGCGTGATTTAAAACGATTATAATTTCAAAATTACACGAGTACACTGAATTAATAAGGACAATTCTTTGACTGAAGAGTTATTTTTCCTGCAAAAATTATTATAAACTGGAGTAATACTTTCAGCTCTGAAATTAATACCCCAGCCATGAATAATCGGCAGAAATGAGCAATTAGTTGGTATACATAAAATGACAATTTTGCAGCTTTTTTAATTATGTTGAAACAATGTTTGCACATATTTTATAACAATTATCTTCTCTTTACGCGTGTCTGTTATTTTGCACTGTATGGCTTAAAATTTGTATCTGTTATGTACAATAAACAGTCCCTTTATTTTTATTTTGAACTTCACTCAAGACTTAACATTAATGACGAAATATGAATGAATTAAGTACAATAAACTGTATCTATTTTTTAATTTGAACTTCACTTAAGACTTAACATTAATTACGAAATATGAATGAGACTAAAGTTAGAAATAATTTTGATTATTTCATGCCCTAAGTTGTTGATCACGTACAGATAACAATTCAGTAAAAGCTGAATATTTGCAATCTCAAAGAGAAATGCAGCAACATTTCTTCCAGAACATTTCTTCCCGGTACATTTCTAAAAACTTTCGCCTGGTGGCATAGGCTGAGCGTTGGCAATGTGTTTTTTTTCTTATGAACCGTTGACGCTCTTTCCGCCTTATTAGTCTTATATCATATATTATTAGTCTTATATCATATATTATTAGGCTTCTCATTACCCCGGGGTTGACGTAAACTGAGCGAGTGACCGTCCGGAAACGACGGTCAGAGCAGGTACGAAGCTGAACTTAGTCTTTCATTTATTTCATTGTCAGTCTGGGATAATCTCTCTGACTATGGACGTCAGCGCTGCATTATGAGAAATGAATGAGGCTTTTTCCAAATAGCGGTGCACGTTCTACACATGGGGTTCTACTCAACATTGTTCCTATTGATGGCAGCCCTAGGAGGAATTTTTATCTTGACCTGCCCAATGGGAAATAATGTATGTCGAATTATATATTCAGCAACGTGAAGAGTTTGATGTTTATTTTCTTCCCAGTTAAACAGACTTTACATGCATTGAATTTCGAAACCAATTATTTAACTTAAATGCAGCCTTTTCTTAGTTTGACCCACGATAATTAATTCGCTGCTGCTATTCTTATTATAAAATAAAAAGACATTAATTTTTTAAACGTGGCTATATTCATTGGGTTAAAACATTTCATTAATCTGGTTAATCAGCTTCGGAAAAGTGCAGGGCGGAAACCATCAGTTAACTGTCACTGTAAATATATAGGTGGCTGTATAAACTGCTTACGTAAACCCACGATTACTTAGATGGCTGTAATATATCTTCTATCAATAACTCCCGATTATCAAGTCTACCTACACTTGCGGCTCATTTGTATCATCTTATTCACAATTCAAGTCTAAAGTGATATTTATAAAGTGATTCAAGTCACGACATTTGGTTTTAAGAGTTTAGCGCTGCCTATGCGTGATGACTCTTAACTTTTTTGAAAGTATGGGCCGTCGGGTAAATGGAAGTATGAGTGTTTTTTTTTAGTTTTCCGTCACGCGATAAACGACATGAGTTCTCGGTCGCCAGGCAACAAATACTGACAAATGGCAACCAATAACTGCAAAAATGACCCAGATATAGACAAATATGCAACAAAAACAGAAAAAATGCAACAAATAATTGTAACACAGTTATAGTAGGAGCCCAGAGAAGTGCAAACAGTTATAGACAATGAGTCATCAAATAGGGAGGAAATGTTTCAAATAATTGAAGCAATGGCAACATCAACGACAAAAAATTAAGTACATACAGACTAAGAGGCAACGAATAGCGAGATAATTTTTTAAATAATTGATACAAAGGTAACAATTAGCTGCAAAAGCGCCACAACTCCAGATAAGCAACAAAAATCGAGAAAAGATGACAAATAATTTAAACAATGGCAGCCAATACATAAAAAAATTACACAGATACAGATCAAATACTGAGGAAATGCTTCAAATAATTGAAACAAAGTCAACAATTGGCTGCAAATATACAATAAGTCTAGACTACGATGCAAATTTGCAGAGAAAAGGCGACAAGTATTTGCAAGCAAGGTAATCAATGCCAATAAAATCGTAACAAATGTAGACGAATAGGTATAAAATACAGCAAAAATGCTTTGAATAACCAAAACAAAAGGTAACAGTTACCTCCGAAAATGAAGCAAACCGTAAGGTATTCGTTGCACAAGCATTTTAAAATTTAAAAAATATAACTAGGTACTCCCTGCAGTGGGTGACAGAGAGCGCATTTTCTCGTCGACGAAAACGTCAAGTCACGGACGGACGGACGGACATGGCGAGCACAATAGTGCATTTTTTCCATAAATGAGAAAATGCGCTAAAAACCGCCGCAAAGCAGTCGATAGCAATCGCCATGAGGCAGAAGCGGATATGTGCGCCATAAGTCTTGTGAAACATCGAGGAAAGAAGTCATAAATTCTCGAACTTTCCTGTGTCTCGTGGAATATAAGAATTTTGAAAACTTGTGTGTTGTTTCAATTGTTTTTGATTCATTTAGATTTGGATCAATATTTCTATTTGGTATATTTTATTTGGTAACAATATTGATATTATACTAAATTGGCTCACGACTAAAATTTCCAGCAATTGAGCGTCCCGCACCTCTCGGACAAAAACGCGGCCTGTCTCACGGCCGTGCCTCAAAAAATTCATCGTACATAGAATATCTTCCAAACTACTGAACCGATTTCAGTAAAACTTGATATATAGATTCTTGACCACCTATAAAGGTGATTTCTAGCCAGCACATATAAGACCACAGCGAGAATCCTCGCAGGTTAGGTCCAAGTTAGGCCTAGTTCAACTACTTTCAGAGCACAGTAAACGAACCTTTCCTGACCAGACCTAACCTAAAGGTCAGTCGCTCCCCCCCCCCCGTGGGGGCACCCAAGGAGATCAAAGTTTCCTAAGCCGAGAGGGAAGGACCAGTAGTTTGGAAGATATTCCATGTACAATACGTATTTTTGCCCGTATTACCGTATAAATCGAGAACGCGGGCGAAATCGCGAAAATTCACACGGGCTAGACATCACCTTTAGGTAGTCAGGAATCTATATACCAAGTTTCATCGAAATCGGTTCAGT